GCAATATCTGTTTACTTCCATATCACTACACTAACAGATCTTGGTTCCTAATTCAGTCTAGTGAATAGGTGTTAGAATAAATTGAGGTACGCTGACACTAAACTAAGCGGTAGACCGTTTAGCTTAGTGGTTAGAGCGTCTGGATGCGTATTCAGGCGAAAGTCCTAATCTAATCCTGACATCGTGGGTTGTATTACCATACACAATACCCGCAGATAATTGTTCCGCATCTGGGTGTTTGTCCGCGTGAAATTTATGTTTGTGAAACGTCTTTACAACACAGAATAATTATAGATAAAGGCAACGTTTCTTTTTTATATAAAGACAAACCATTTTTAATGAACACATTCTTAAGTCTCGTCTTAAATGGAGAGACTGGCAAAAGGAATATACTGGTATTGATACTGTGATATATTCGAACTTATTAAAAAGTCGATCTACACACAACCCCGGTTCGATATACTAAAACGTGCAATAAACGTAAATTATGTAGAACTAAATGAATTATTGATCACATTGTGTTCCAGCCGTCGCTATCGCATTCACGTTAACTTGATAGTTGTTTTAGCGGCTTTTAATGATTATCGATATTACACGTTCTACTCGTAATTTTGAACACAATAATGAAAGATGATAACACAGTGAGCCAATATAAAAACATCGTAAAACAATGACATTGCATTTCATATGAGGATATATATTTAAAATACTTTAAACAATATGACCTACAATTCGTTTCCAAATATACAATTCTAATATGCTAGTCTGCCAAAAATCTTCTATCCCATAAAGCGATATTTATGTTTCTTTTATATGTGAAAAGATGTAACAGAAATATATATATTTTATATGTGAAATATCACACAATATGCAGAAGTGTTGGCAAACTTTAAAACCGGTCAAGTGCGAGTCGGACTCCCGCACGAAGGGTTCCGTACCATTTTCTATAAAAACGGCAAAAAAATCATGCATGTTGTATGGGAGCCCCATATAAATATTTTTTTAATCTGTTGTTATAGCGGCAATAGAAATACATCATCTGTGAAAATTTCAACTGTTTAACTATCACGGTTCATGAGATACAACATGGTGACAGAGGGTTAGACAGACAGACAGACAGCGGAGTCTTAGTAATAGGCTCCCGTTTTACCCATTGGGTACGGACCCCTAAAAAGTGAGACCCGGCTACCTTAGTCACCAGAGTGTCACGTGAAGGTATAACACTTTCTCCTCACGCCGGTATTCTTGAAGCCCTGTTACTTCCCCGGGCGAGAGTACTTGTTCGTGCAACAGCGGAAGTTGTCTCTTGCCAAATTGTACAACAAATTTAAAAATGGTCTCCATAACTAGGGTCTAAGGTCAATTATGTTCAAGGTTGTGTAACGAAACTAATAGGCCAAAAAATAGGTATTATATATGATTGTAATGATACAACTTATTTAATACTGCATGGTATTTAAGTAAATTAACAGTGTTTAATAATACTACCATTTAGTGTGGTCTTTGTTTACGTGATTCAATTGAAATCACAAATAGGAGCCAAAATCTTATCCATCTTAACGAAGTTTTATCACCCTTCCAACAGTAGGAACTTAATACAACTAACTATGTATTCCTAAAGGACTTTTCTAAAGTTTACAAATCACGAATTACTGAGGTAACAAACTTTATAAAACACAACCGAACTGAGAACCTCCTCTTTTCGATGTTGGTTTGATGAAGATGAAGATTTTTTGAGAAGTGGCCAAATTTACACAGGAGGTTCAGACGCGGTAGTATAATCGTTTATTGAAATAAAAACAAAGTTTTTTTTTCCAAAAAAATGCCATTATATTCCCTAAAATACAGTTTTATAAAAGTTATCCTCTATACGTGTGTTCATTTATTGTCGCGATGGTAAAGACACGCTGTATATACGAAAAAATACTTTTAAAATGCATCCAAACCGATGATTTAATAGGTAAAGTATGACAAGTTAAAATTCCATTAAAGATTTCAGTACCGATTCAGTACGAACTGCAGTTTTTGTTGGTATTACCTGGTTTAATTTCTTTTTATTCCCGAATTTTTTAAAAAAAATGTTTAGTACAGAAGTTTACCACCACGCGACCCCACTGCGGATTGGCGGACTTCACATATCTTAGAAACATTTTTTTGTTATTATTTCGAAAATATGCAGGTTTCCTCACAATGTTTTCCTGCAACGCTGAGTGCGTGATAAGACAGCACTTAAAAATTAACAATCTCATTGTGATTTGCACTCTGGTTGCTGGAATATATTGAATTAAAAGCAAGCGCCCGGACAATGAGCGGATAAATGTTTAGTAATGTTATATTCGTTTACGTTTATGGAATTGTTATACATACATTTCATATGTAAGCTTAAATTATTTTAGCGTATTGTTTTTATCCGATCACTAAACTGGGCTTCCATGAAGTACGATTTATTATCGAAATAATAAATTTAACACTCTGCTTTGAATAATTTACTAATGAGGACAAAAACTAACGAAGAAGAAAAATTAAGATTCAGCAAAAAAGACGGACCGTGCCTTTTTTATTAAGAATATTTTAGCTGATCGCGGCTTCTAAATTTCGCAAGTTTTGAATACTTTCAAGGTCGCGTTTAGGACTGGGGATTTTTTACTGCTGTCATATCACAATAAACCCGGGCTAATGAAGCAGTTCCTAAAAATATGTTGGTATTATTTATAAAAAAATTGTTCAATTCGGCTAATCTAGAGAACAGTTCTTCAAACACAAAAATATTCGTCGTTGTAATGTACCCACAACTCAGTTTTCTCAATTGCATTTCTCAGCATGAAGATTGTCGTTTTTGTGACATTTATATATTCTAAAAACATTGAGATTTGAAACAATCGTTCTAGGCAAGTATACTGGAGGTTTGAGCTGGTGAAATAAATTTTAGGATAACCCCTTACATTCCGAACAAACAAAAAACTATGCCTATATAACACGAATATACATTTATCTCTCTTGTCTTGGTAAACGACCAATATTATGAGTTAATTTCTATCTCTTTCTTAATCGATTTTTTTCCACGGAGAGATCGGCTTTTTTATTTCAGTTCTTAGATTTTCCGTCACACTAATTCTCTGATTTTTTTTAACTTGAAGTTTTCAATCGAGCAGGCGGTCCACCAGATTTTAAGTGGATGGACATCTTGGCATTATGTTCGCCTCTGTACAGTTTGTGCATAAACTATAAATAAACAAGCTGCTGCTGCTGATAAATAAGATATATTATTGTAAAGTTTCATTAAAATCCATTCAGCATTATTTGCGTGAAAGAGTAACAAACATCCATCCATACATACAAACTTTCGTGTTTATAATATTAGTAAGGACTAGCTGCTGCCCGCGACTACGAGTGCGTAGAATAGGCTGAAGGCGTAACATTCAGAAAGAAACACAGATATACATAAAATATGTATATAAATTATAGCCTATGTCTTATTCTGATAAATAAGCTATATTATTGTAAAGTTTCATTAAAATCCATTCAGCAGTATTTACGTGAAAGAGTAACAAACATCCATCCATACATACAAACTTTCGTGTTTATAATATTAGTAAGGACTAGCTGCTGCCCGCGACTACGAGTGCGTAGAATAGGCTGAAGGCGTAACATTCAGAAAGAAACACAGATATACATAAAATATGTATATAAATTATAGTCTATGTCTTATTCTGATAAATAAGCTATATTATTGTAAAGTTTCATTAAAATCCATTCAGCAGTATTTGCGTGAAAGAGTAACAAACATCCATCCATACATACAAACTTTCGCGTTTATAATATTAGTAAGGAATTAAGGACTAAACCGTAATTTACATAGAAACAGTCGAGATATTTCCTCTTCAAAAGAAATAGATGTCCAACAATATGTATATAAAGTTATAGCCTAAATGTCTGATTCTGATAAATAAGCTATTTATTGAAAGTTTCATTAAAATCCATTCAGCAGTATTTACGTGAAAGAGTAACAAACATCCATCCATACATACAAACTTTCGCGTTTATAATATTAGTAAGGAATTAAGGATACAGAATCTGAGGTGCTTGCAGATGCATTGACCACATGTAAAAAAGTTGGGCCCTGGTTACATCACTCGCCAGACGAAACGCGATAGTATAGTAACTCCCACTTCACGCCGGTATTCTGTGAGGCGGTGGTACTTCCCCGGACGAGCCTGCCCATTTCTGCAACAGCAGAAGCTGTTGCGTGGCCCTACCACAGTGAAAAACATTCTTTATTTTTTTTTAATTCTTTTAAAAACATCGCCCTAAGTTTAGGATAACATTATCCAGTTTTGTGAGGACGTTTTACAAACATAAATTTCACACGGACATACACCCAGATACGAAATAACTATATAACTATATTTATTTGGAGCTGTTTTGATCTTGTCGGGTAGGGCGTTCCAGAGGAGTGTAGCTTGAACAGTAAAAGAAGAGTTAAAGTATCCTGTATTATGTTGCGGGATGCAAATCCTATGTAGATTAATGGAACGAGGTACTCTGTCAGAAGCAGAGTGAAATAACTGGAAGGTATTCCTAAGATATGTAGGAGAATTAGAATTAGCTAATACAGAATATAATAACAACAGAATTATGTGTTCTCTAAATAACTTATCTGTTTATATTTTAGTTTGTGACCTGTTACTAAACCTTTCTGTTTAAAATAAAACAAATAAAATGAAATGACTCCGTGGCGCAGTTGCCAAGGTGTTGACTGCGGCGTTTGTGGTCGTGGGTTCGATTCCCACAGGAACAACTATTTGTGTGACCCACAAATAGTTGGTTCGCATCTAGGTGTTTATCCGCGTGAAATTTATGTTTATAGAACGTCCTTGCAACACAGAATAATGATATCCTAAAGTAAGGACATTTTTTAAAAAAAATTGTAAAAAAAAAAACACTGACTTTTTCATAGTAGCATGGTAACCGCAAAAGGGTTGTAAATTCAGGTAGCCTACCTTTAGGGGGTCCGAAAAGCACGACGTCCATCGCTTTTAACGCGAGCTTCTGTTTGTGTATGGGGTCCTTGATGCCGAGAACGTTGCTTAAGTACTGCATGTTGTTTACCGCCAGCCTGGTCCAGGACAAAAGAGAATAGTGGAAATATGTAATCTGCGAGTAAAATGTTTTAATACGCCTTTATTAGCTTCACTTGTATTTAAAATGCGTGGGGTGTTTGACATCAAATATTCCAGATAGGTTTTAGGTTTTTTTTTTAAATTTTAAAAATGCATGCAACTTATAAGGAGATACCTTATAAGTTGCATGCATTTTTAAAATTTTGTACTCACTTTATTTTTACTTTAGTTTTAAAAATTTAAATATCATCAAATGGCGGTGTTTTGATTTCGAAATTATTTACTTTTTATTTCGAATTGCAATTAAATCGAGTTTTAGTTTTAGTTTTTTTAACCATTATTTTAGTAACAAAATAACAAAATCCATAACATACATTTTCTATTTGATTTTGTAGTTTCCTGATGTATCCCCAGTGTCTAAGGTTCGGTTCCAATGAAGCTAAAATGGAATCATATGGGAGATAAGCCGAATCTAATAAAAAAAAATAAAGTCGGTTCTTCAATAACGGAGTTCTCGGGGAACAAATATGAATAAAAAAAATTAATTTTTGAAGTCTGTTGATAATTTTCATTGTTTTAACAAGCAAAAATTTACTAGCGATATCGAACGTGAAGAAATATATGGATATATATAAAAATATCAATATCGATCCCGATATATCGGCCTCGACATTTTTAGGTCCCGTTGTTGACACCCGTGCCGCATTCGAATTGGAAAAAATATTCAGTTTTTTCGATATTGAATGTTTTGTATCGATATATCGGATCCAAATATATCGGCTAAAAAAATCGATATGTCGATATTTTTTCGATATCACTAAAGTTTACTTTTATTGAGGAGCTTGGGAGTTTTTCGTGTGATAAAATTTTTATTGAATGCAGAATCTATACATGTCAATTAATTTTCCGTTTAGTTACCGTTTTCCACTTTCTGTATTCAAATAAATAATCTTTAAATACATCCACCGCAAATTGGAGAACAACTTACAAAAGGCAGATATAACTTACGGTCGTTTTTAATATTCTATCTATCTGTAGATTTGGTTACTGGATATTTATGGATTAGATAGAAATTACTAGAATTTTGACGTAAGTATTATTGAGCTATGTCAAATACCTATCTGCAGTAACCAAATCTACTGATAGATAGAATATTGAAATCAGCCGTAAGTCACTTTCAATATAATTATGTATATCCTCGATAACCTCTGTAGTTCTTTGGCCATTAATTTAATAAAAAGTTTACGAGAAACTTTACAGCGTGACAGGCACCGATTAGATTCTACAGTTCTTAAAGTAAGTTTTTATAAGTCATTATTATTTTTAGTGCTACTCTTGGCACTCTAGGCGAAACTTTAAATTGTAATTTTTTTTTAGAAAAATCAACAAAAACTTTGGGCGCTGCGGGATTCGAACCTGCGTATTACCACAATAAAACTGTTAAAACCAATAAGCACTAAGATCAAACCCACCTCGGTAGCGTGGCACCGGTCACCCTGTGCTGAAGAAACAGGGACCTGTATTGGGGAAGGTCGACCGACTGCGACAACCATTCCACCGTCTGCTCCGTAGTCCAATTGTGTACCTTAAAACAAGCAATATGGATTACGATAGGCGGGTTCGATGCGTTATTTTTTTAAATTCAGAACCGGCAAGCACCTGGCTGTCATCCCACCTGATAGTAAGTGGCGATGCAGCCGTTGATGGTAATGCGCTGGTTCGGTAAAAAGCTATTCACTCTTGGCGTTCGGCCGGGCTACATGGTAAAGTATTTGACGACCCGATTGGCGCAATGGCTAGTTGCCTAGTCTCTTGCGTCAGAGGGTGTGGGTACGATTACCATTGCTGAGAAATTATGGTGTGATGAACATAATGCTTTTCTACTATCTGGGTATTTGTATATCTTAAATTATGTATTTATTTGCAAAGTATTTAGAAAAGTATGTTTAACACAGTACACATTTTGCTTAGTTTGTGTTAACTAAAAATATATTTATTTATTTAAACATTTATGTTTTCATTTGTGTTATGTGTTGCTTTTACCCCATCTAAGCTATGTCATTTCAATTCCTGCCCGTGACTATCTATGTTGCAAAGCATTCGATAGGATTAAACGTCGGAAAATATATAAAATCACAGTTAAAAGTGATTAACTACTTTATAGCTGTTTAATTGGACATGCAAATATAAATGTTATTAAAATTTGTTTTATAATTCAGGTGAAAAATGGATCGCGTATCGCGACTGTCAAAAGCGATGCTGATGATAGAGAAGAGGTTCAAATTTGGCAATATCTACGGATTATGTCAACTCGAGGACTTACGAAGGAAATTGTTACATCAAACGTACGTAAACAAAGGGTAAGTACCACGACCTCCCAGAAGAACGGCGTAAAGTAGAAATGTTACACTTGTGTTTCGTCTGGTGAGTGAGGTAGCCGGGGTCCACTTTATTTAAAGGTGGCAACGCATTTGCAACCCTACAGGTGTTGCAAATATTCATGGGCGGCGGTTATCAATTAACATCAGGTGAACTGCCAGATCGTTTCTCTCGTAAAAAAAAATAATGAGGGACTGTAATGAAAATATTTATGTACATGTATAAATACTTGTGGGTCGTTGACCTTTTAACAGTTCAGCACGGGAGCTCATCGTCTAGAAAAATTGGTTCATAAAATCTTTTTTTGGTAAACTGGTAAGATATGCAGGTACTTTTTAAGATATGTTCTAGTTAACATCGTCGGTGAAGCCGTAACAACACTTATGGATAAACTGATAAGCTTACATATACCTAAATGGTAAAATATACTGGGTGATTTTTTAGACGAAGTACATACTTTGACATAATGTTAATTGAGCATTCCATAATTCAAAAAAAATATTAATATTTTATTTTGACAAGAAATAACGAAAAAAATATCAATTAAAACATTATTTGCCCGTCGCCGTTCCCGTTAAGAGTGGTCACCCTATTGATAAGCGGTTTAGTAATTATGTGTTCAGCTAAAAGTTTTAGTGCTTGTGAATAGGTTATTGTATTGAGACGGTAAGACAGGAATTTCTAATAGGTTGTCCATAATGTTCGAAAAAATTAAAAATAGTCTTTGAAAAAATAATGAGGTCACAAGTACGTACCAGATTCAGATTTAGAATCAAATTCTGCATATGCTCTGTTAATATGTCCGTCCTCTATAAAATCACCCTGTATATTAATGGTAACATATTTCGTGGTGGCATTGTGAGTAATCACTTAAAAGCATGCTCGCTCAAAACACCTCCAGTTAGCTGATTGTCCGTTAATCATAATAATGTTTCTTTTATAATCTTTCGTTAGGAGGGTGTTGCGGGGTCTTCGTGTCGACGTCATGCACCAGCTACGTTATTCTATCATTCTAGACCTAAAGCCACGGGGCTACAAACTATACGTCACAAGAAAAACACGCTCACACATTCACAGATGACAAAAAAAAATATCAAGAAAACCAACCGACCTCTGATCGTAACCACGCCTCCCATAGCTCCTTGACGGATATGTGCATGTCGTCGTTGTGGTGGAAGGCGCGCTGCCGTTTCTCATAGCCGCTGTCGTACTGCAACTCCTCGCGGAGAAACTGGAACGCGAGAACGGGGGTAAAAGTCATTCATCGCGTTCTACCACCTATATAGTTATCATTGTTTCTTTCTTGTATTCATAAACATTGCCCTTACTTTAGGATAACATTACCCTGTGTTGTAAGGACGTTTTACAAACATAAATTTCACGCGGGCAAACACCCAGATGCGAATCAACTATCTGTGGGTTACACAAATTGTTGTCCCGTGTAGGGATCGACCCCGGACGCCGAAGCCAATACTTTGGCAACTACGCCACGGAGTCATCAATTTTTTAATTGTTTATCTCTATGTAAGAAGCTGCTAAGCGGCCGAGCGGTTAACCTGACGTTAAGTGTCACTAATTACCGCCGACCATAGGTATTTACAACTCCTTTGGTGTTGCAGGTGCGTTACAAACTTTCAAAGAATAGGGTCCCGCGAGTTAGGTAAACTCATCAGACGAAACGCAATTGCATTACCGCTTCAACTTCACGCCGGTCTTCTTTTTTTTTCTTTCAGATCGCAGTACTTCCCTAAACGAGTAACAGCACAAAGTGGTGCGTGACATAACCTAGTAAAAGAAATAAAAACAAAATCGATCTTATTACAAAGAATTAAGGGAATAACATACTACTGTATAAAGGATAGACAGGGCCTGACTGACAGGTTAGACTAAGATAATGCTATCTGTATTTCATAATTTAGTTGAAAACACGTTACATGGCTAGCCTTTTCATATGAAATTTCGATATAAAATAATATTGCAAAATAATATATTAGTTGACAATTCAACAAGAACAGTTTCGATTCCGAAACAAATTGAAAGGAATGCGTTCAATCATATAGAAATTCCTGGGAAATCAGGTGTGCTCATAAATGAGCCAAGTGGCCGTCGAATCAATTAAGATCATGTAACAAACGAATGCTCACAAAACTAACGTCGCACTATCGTCGTGAGGCGATCTTTTTATAGACGTACTAGCGGACCCTACAGACGCCCTGTAATTACACACATTCAGTTCGACCGACTTATGAATAAAAAAATAATTAAAAAAAAAACATTTTGTAGTGAACCGAATTGTGAATCTAAAACAGAACACATGCAAAGAAGAATTATAAATATATAGAATAGTAAAATATATAATAGAAAGAAGTAGCACATTTGTGTTTTCCGTGATTAATTATTATCTCGCCTTGAATACAAATCTGAACAACTAATCAGATGTAAGTTGATAATCGTCCAAAACTGCCATGACAAACAGATTCAATATGGAATTAATCTATCCAAAATATTAGGCGATGCGACAATTACATAAACAAAAATGATGTTATTTTTAAGAACTTCGTTAGGATAATAAGATAAAACGGTGGTAAATTTCAATGTCAATAGTTTGCGAAGTCCGTATTTGACTAATGTACTCACGCAGCCTTGAAATAGCTTTGGCCAATGACTTCACTTCGCTTAAAAAAAAGTGTTTCCGTCGAACGCTTAGAATGCCAATAAAATTTGTTTCAGTGATGGGTTTTGATTATATTATGTTCTAACAGAAACAGTTTGTTTATAGCATTGGTTGACTTTTAGTCAAACTATGCTTTAGTATAAAGAAAATGAAGCATCGGTTTCTTGGTACTTTGTTTTTCACAAAAATTTTGGAAATTTTCGTTAATTAAACACTTGCTTGTATAGAAAGTTTCGCTTTTATATAATAACATTATTAAGTTAAATACCTCAACACGTTAAAACTATATTAAATTGAAGAAATTGTATTAATTAATTACTTAATTATTCACAAAATCACTGACAACATTTTTCAATGTATACATAATTAGCAATCATTCAACTGGGTGGTATAAAACCTTCTACATGCTGCATTCCAACCAAATATTGTTTATCATAAACTCAATAAAATCCATTAAAAAAATTGACGATATAAATTGATTTCACCTACCCCAAAGTGTTGATAGAAAACTGTTCAATCTGCAACGAAATTAGCTGACTGCCACACCGTTCTTTAGTATTGTTGTGTTTAAAATTACCGGTTCTTTTAGATAATTGGTACAAAATGCAACATTGAATTATTCCTTGGGCTCATTGAAGAAGTCTAATTACGAGTATGTACAAATATAAATGATAGAATTAAGGCTCAAGCGGGCTCTTTTTTTAATTGTTAAGGAACAACATTTTCAGCTTAATTCCATTCATTTGAATAGTGTTCATGATATAATATTGCATTGTCTTATGCGTAACAAGCACATATATGTTTTTTTTATGAGCAACTGTTTTAGATCTATGTAATAAGCTTCTGAATGATGGTCTATTGTTCTCGCGTAGCTAATACTGCACTAATATATCTCTGAAGGTTATTTGGTTCGTGTCGTACCCACAACAGCTGAAGGGACGTTAATAATACTTAGATATAGTGATGGATTACTATCCTTATAATTTTTATTATAAGGATATTAGCTTGGATAAAACTTGAGAATAATTAATATTCCTTATAAATCTGTTATATTGAAATAATAAACGGTATCTTCTCATCTTTAAAATGAAAACAATTCCTGTGTCGCGGGAGGTTTCACAAACATTAAAAGTAAAACATTTTTATTTAAAAAAAATCTTTAAATAAATAAATATTTTAGGACACATTTTTACACAACTAACGTTCTCTAAACCCAAACTTCGCAAGACTTGTAATATGGGTACCAGGAAACTAATAAATATACTAAAACATACTTTTTTTTTTGTAAATAAATACATATTATACATAATTATATAAAAATCCAGACACTGGAAAAACACTATGTTCATCACACAATATCTTTCCAGTAGTGGGGATCGAACCAACACTCTCTGGCGCAATATGTAGGTTAACTACCCACAACGCCAATCGGGTCGATGTAAATATATCAAACCTATACATTTTATACTTGATTTTGAGAAGTCTCCGAAATCCAAGGTGCAATTCGAATCTTATCCTTTAAACGAGCAATTCTTGTATATATATATATAATCGTAATCTCGGCAACGGCTTCAGCGATTTTCATGAAATTTAGTATGTGCATAGATTCGGGGGCGAAAATTCGATCTAGCTTGGTTTCATTTTTAGAAAATGTCCTTTTATCCCTGTTTTCAGGGAATGAAAAATATAATTCGAATATGACGGTAAATTTCGCCGCAAGACAAAATGTCATAATAGCTCGGTCGGTTTTTAATTACGCAATAATTTGTATCTAAATGTAATTTCCAAAATACACGATTTACGAAAAAAAACAAACCGAGCAGAGCTCGGTCCTCCGGGTACTTAAATCATTATGGGACCACGGAGCTTAACAGAATCCAATGCTTGTTTTTGCATTGGGTTCGGTTAAGCTCCGTTTTTAGTATCGGTCCAGAAATGAACTTGTCACAGCCAACATTAAAAAAGGGGACAAAATTGTGAACCTCCTTTTTTGAAGTCGGTTGATAAGGACTAACACAAAATGCAACCAGACAACTACATATGGGTGATAAACAGTTGTTCCTGCCTAAACACCTGATTTAGGCAGGATTAAAGCCACAACACGACGCGCAATAGCTGTTGTCATTGATCTATCAGCGCATCGAGTACAACAAAACTTTTAATAATATCCGATATTGTGACTTCGTAACATACACTGTATGTATTAGTATTGTATATGTAATATATGATGATAGCGACATAGCGACATAGCTCCGCCGACAACAAACCAATACATTGCATTACAACAATAGTTGATCATTCCGCCTATATATAATTTTGTTACGCCTAAAGGAAATACTTGAAATAAGGCCAAGCGTTATCGTTGCGTAATTATATAAGCGGCGATGTTACATATTAATACGCCTCGGCTCGACACAACGCGACTAAAAATGATTATGTGCAAATTTAAGCCGCACGCGACAAAATTTCTGCGGACTTTTTTTAAATGTGAGAAAAACGAGCTGGCGATTCACCTGATGTCAAGTTTATCACTTGACATCAGCCGGCCATTGACATGTGCAACACCGTAGGGTTGCAGATGCGTTGTCACCTTAAAAATTGGGCCCCGGCTACCTTACTCACCAGACGAGACGTGGAAGAATAATACTTCCACTTCACGCCGGCCTTCTGTGTGGTCGTGGTACTTACCTGGACGGACCTGCCCATTCATGCAACAGAGAAGACTGTTGCGTGGTCCTACCACCACATATCAGACTCAGTGCCACGTAGCCACTTCTGCTGTTGCACGTAAAGAACCTCTCACTCTCACACTCTCCTTGTGTAAGTCGCCAAAACATATTACATGACACAATCTGTACGAGTTAAGCTAGCCGTTGAACAAGTTAGTCAAACTAGTTTGCAATGTGAATATACATTGTTGTTTATTGTTTATTTATTATATAATAGCTGTGCCTGCGACTTGGCCCGTGTGGAATTTTACATAAAAAAAAAAAACTAAAATAAAAGTAGCCTAAGTTACTCCTTATTACGTCAGCTATCTGCCAGTGAACGTCCAATCCAAATCAGTCCAGTCGTTTTAGAGATTAGCCGGGACAAAGAGACAGACAAAAATCGTAAAAAATGTTATTTTGGTATAAATGTAGCCTGTATACATCCATATGCATTTATTAAAAAGCGGTTATTTTAATATAACAAACAGACACTGAAATTTTATTTATCTGTATACCGCCCCGACTAGCGACCCGCCCCGGCATCGCACGGGTGCAATGGTGAATGTTTGTTTTCGACATCTCTCTAAAATTATCAATGTTTTTCTACTACATTATGCATGAATAATACATATAAACCTTCCTCTTGAATCACTATTTAATAAAAACGTATCAAAATCCGATGCGTAGTTTTAAAGATCTAAGCATATATAGTGACAGATAGACAGCGGAAAGACTTTGTTTTATTTTATATTATGTAGTGATATTTATTTATATCAATATCCCCTATATACAGGATGACTTAAGGTGCCCAAATTCACACAGAGGTTCAGACTCGGTAGTATAATCGTTTATTGACATAAAAACAAACTTTCTTTTTTTTTTAAAAATTGCCATTCTATTCCCTAAAAAACAGAACTGTTGACAATGCGGTAGTCATTCATAAATGCGATGTATACTTTTGAAACGAACTTGTGTGTGTGTTAGTTATGAATGATCGCGCGAAAAATAAATGAGTTGCCCATAAATCACGCACTTTCTGAGATAAGTTCAATTGAATGTAATTAATTCATTACGAGAGATTTTAAATATTTATCATTTTTATATAACATTATTTAAGACTAGAATTTAATTAAAAAAATGGATACACTTAGAAAAGCCTCCCTGTATGTATATTGTCACGGAGACGTTGCGTCCTTAGTCAATAGACACTCCAGAATCCATCCTGACGCATGGTCGCCTTACCGTTGGCTGCAATTGTTTTTAAAACAAGCAGAATGTCCGCTGTGTGCTAAGAAATCATTGGAACACGATATTTGTAGGAAACGGCCAACTATAAACGTTTCTCAACCGATAAGGAAGTCATGCATTACATACATTTTTGAATTTCCGTGGCGCAGCTGCCAAGGTATTTAATTAGGCATCGGGGGCCGTGGGTTCGATTCCGATACGAGACAACTATTTGTGTGGCCTACAGATATTTGTTTCGGATCTGGGTGTTTGTCCTAGTGAAATTTATGTATCTAAAGTTTCATTACAAGTTACAACGCAGGATAATGGTACCTTACAGTAAGAGGGTAATGTTTTCGAAATGGTACTTACTTTAGGAATACAATGTTTTCGAAGGGATACTTACTCTAGGAGTCGAAGGGACTTTAGATAGTGGTCGTTGGGACTTGCTTCTCAATACCTTGCATACAAAATACAAACACATACTTTTCCCTACGCGATCCTCTACCTAAAGGTATTTGCTAATTGGTGCTCTTTCATGTACCTATCAAACATAATCCTAACGCTTAGCGGTTACCGCAACATCTAAAGAGTTACAAGAGTGTTAAGGCTCATACCTTGAATGGTTTTAGTCGAATATCCCTGAGAATATTGCTGGCTACATATCATCCCAGACACTACTGGACCGTACAGATCCAGATGCACATTATGGAAACAAGAATAAGTATAATAATTGACGACACGATTGGCGTAGTGGATAGACCTGCCTGCGCCAGACCGTGTGGGTTCGATCCCCATTGAACAAATACTGGAAAAATATTGTTTGATGAACATAGTGTTTTTCTAGTGTCTGGGGTGTTTATATATCTATAATATGTATTTATTTACAAAAGAAAAGTATATCTATGCAGAGTTTGTAGATAACGTCTTGTAAAAATATGTCCTGAAATATTTATAACTAGCTGGTGCCCGCGACTTTGTCTGTGCAGGATTAGTACTTAATCTATCTTTATACCAAAATTCATCAAAATTGGTTCTACGGTGTTATAGTAAAGTTAAAATCCATTCAGTAGTTTTTGCGTGAAAGAGTAACAAACATCCATCCATACATACAACTTCGCCTTTATAAATATTAAGTAAAGTAATTAGTAAGAATACGCTGAAGGCGTAACATTCAGACAAAAAGGTAGATTAATAAGAGTAACATCCATCCATAGATACAAACTTTCACGTTTATACTATCTATAAGTAAGGAAGTAGGGATTAGTAAAGTAAGGAGTAAGGGTAAGGATTAATAGCACCGTGTTAACTCACATCGTCGCTCTCGCTGAGGTCGACGTTGCCGTTCGCATCGTCGTCTAGTTGCCTGTGCAGCTGGGTGATAGCCTCCAAGCCGGCGCGGTCGTGGAGACAAGCGGGATCGTTGTTACACGCCTCCAGAAGAACTGGAACGAGACAAGCCACCGAGCTGAGTGACAAAGTTCAGTTTAGACATATTAATCGCTTTCTATTGCGAGTGGAGATGATTCGGTGACGCAGTCCAGGTGGGGGTTTGTGTTCGATTCCCACACGGGACGAATAGTATATGTGTGACCCACATGAGGGGACGTCAGGCAGGCGACCGAACGTAAAAACAACGGCATCTTACGTTAAGACACGCAAACCACCTTCCAAGATTATATGCAACGAAGAATAGAATAGCATTTACATAGTTCTTTGTATTAACGTTATGGCTAAAATATCTCGACCACGACCTGAAAATAATGGGACACAATTATCGTTGGACAGTCGTATGTCACGCCATTGTACGTTATTGCAAAACTTCAAGATCGTATTTTGCAGTCAGAAAGCTGATTTCGAAATATTTCTACTTAATGATTGGGTAGCATCATCGAGCTATGAAAGAAAACCGGCTAACCAAGGTAAACGTTATTATATTCTCGAATTCTGAATTTTTGCACATTTTCCGTCCTATATTTCACCTACCTGTATATATGTTAGTATTAGTTATAAACATATGACAGGAGTTGGCTCACGTTTATACGTCTATTGTACCTAAATCTTGTTTCGAGTTTATTATTGTGTAAGTAAAGTAACAGCCTATACATGTCCCACTGCTTGGCAAAGGCCTCCTCTATACAGAGGGTATCAGGGCATAGTCCACCACGCGACCCAACTGCGGATTGGCGGACTTCACATATCTTGGAAAAATATTTTTTTTTGTTATTATTTCGAAAATATGCAGGTTTCATCACGATGTTTTCCTTCACTTAAAGTTAAAAACTTCATTGGTGCCGGCACCGGGGATCGAACTCAGGTTGCTCGAGTATATTGAATTAAAGGCGAGCGCCCGGCTAACTGAAAACACTGAGCTATCACGGCTCTTATTGTGTAAAATATATAATTAACAGTAAACATTCAATATTTCTCGTTTAAACATTATAAGAAACGGACCGAAAGGTAAAGTCTACACTGTATGCTCTGCGCTACCGTCTGTTTAATCAGTTAGCCAATTGCAGTTATCGCGGGAAGTAAACATAGCTGAGATTGCGTCCAAGATGGCGACTAGGTAAAACTAGAAAACGCGAACAAGTCTAAACGAAGGGACGACTTGAAAAAAATGAGAAATGACTCTTAATATAGTATTTTAATCTTCTATTATTATCACTACATAGTATAAAATAAAGTCGTCCCGCTGTCTATGTGTACTTGATGAATATTTACTAGATAGATTGATTGAAGAGGAAGGTTTATATGTCTAATACATTGCACCCGTGTAAAGCCGAGGCGAGTTAGCGACCCGTCATTGTCATGTCATTTTAAAATAAAAGGACATGTCCAATATTGCATGTATACAATAATTCTTACATTCATTTCCTAAAGTTGTCGCTGAAGTCATCTTCCGAGACAGCTAAATGATAATTTTACATAACACCGTAAACACATTAATCTTTGTAAACCTCATGACGCGAGTATAATATTGAACGATTTAAGAAAACTGGCACGTTGATCCGAAGCAAAGAGTATTTTACGCCAAGATTCGTCTATACTATTCAAATGTCTAAATAGGTATTTCAACAAAAAAGAGGAGGTCTTTGCCCAGCAGTGGGACATAAATAAATTGGGAATAATTAATTCATATTTGCATTACATACTTAGTTTCACGAAATAACTGTTCCCTAGAGCGAATTCGATCGACATCGCAAACTCGAAGAGAAGAGTGCAAAATGCTAAAATCAAATTAGTCCATGACAAAATAGTCACATCAAATCACCACACTTTCTATCTACTTTTTAAATATCTATTTTTCACCGCTACCTGTCACACCTATAACGCCTTTTTGTATTTTTTAAAATAAAAAAAAACATATTTTTTTGACTTTTGGCCTCAGATACGAGAATCGTCACGTATCTTTCTCTTCTTGAATCTCAAACATGACAGGTGACGAGCCCACCACTTACACCAAACCCAAATGAGAGTGAGAAATACAAGAAAGAGTTCGAAAACAACTCACATTCAAGTTCTGCCTCGTGGCAACTAGTTTATCACTGACTATGGAGACGTATCACTTAATGTGCACGTATATATTAAATAGGATGATTTGATTGACGCGGCCACGGCCCATCAGCCAGTTTGGCAATACTGATGATTTAAGATGAGGAGAACACGTCCAAAGGCAATATAGATTTGAACATGGATTGACATCAATACATGTTCCTTGAAGTTATTAAAAATATTAGGTACATATGACAAAGTTGGCAGGTATTAACATTAAAGGTTGTTTAAAATTAAAGTCATCATGTGCCAGTATTTATTTTTATGAGTAAATTATATTAAAAAAAAAACAAAGCCATCTGATTTGGGGCAATACAGAAATCAATTAATAACCATTTAGTTCTGCCACTGATTGCTTCAATACAGTCAGAGACGATTGATTTCTGGGAAATAATATTGCATATATATTATGGATATTTTCTGAACTATGTACATGATCTGTCAACCTACATCCGATTCCATTATTATCGCAAACTTCCTTTGATTATTTATCGTATTTACAAGCAATATTAAATGCGAATGTTACAAAATACGTATATCAATCAGAAAATTTTTTTATTTCATAACTTTGGTAGACATAGACGCTAATAGAATAATGAACCAGCGCTATAGGAAATCGAGAATTAATATTTCATCACAGACGGTTTTCATATTATCAGTAAATTTAGGTAATCTATGAATTATTCTTGACAACAGAAGTGGTTTTAGATTTTAACACTAATCGATAACGACACGTTATCGGTTATCTGTTTATCGATAATTTGGCTTTGATGTCTAGTGAATCAAACGCAGTAAATGCCCTTTGAATATTGGATTTGAAGGATTTACACTTACTAGTAAAGTGTACACTTAGCAACCCCCGCAAATTCGCCAGTATGTCTTTCCAAAACATTATCGTAAATTATTGCAGGTACCAAGTACGCTATGGGTCTACAAGTAGGTATGTATGCTAAGCAATTTTCACTGCCAATTGTATGAAAATTCGTAAGTTTTTGCCGCGTAAAGAAGGAACTTACAACTAAAAACCTTCGCATTTATAATATTAGAGAGGTTTAATATATCAAAGATCGCACAAAATTTAATGAAAAAAAGAGTCCGCCGTAATTTTCTCGTATCACTAATGTAAACCAATTTCTTCTAAAATATTTATCCCTGTATAAATGGACACGTGAAATACCAATAAAAAATTTCTTAAGAATGATACTTTAAAATTATGAGAACGGGATGAGCTATGTGTAAGTAATGAAAATATAGAATGATTAAACTCTGACAAAGTTCGCAAAAAAGTTTTATTTGACAAAATTAATATTGTTATTTTTTTCTTTTTCAAAACAAAAGTGTTAGAAAATAATACGAGCGTCGCGGGAAGTGGACAAACATAAAAATGAAGAAAAATGAACAAATAAAAAAAAACAACTAATTAAATTCAAACAACAACTAATTAATTAAAACAACAAATTTATGTCAGACACAAGTTTTGGTCCTGTCTGGGGATCTAACCCAATACACAGCGCGCAATGGGAAGGCAAGTTGGCAAGGTCATCCGTGCAGTTAATCATGACCGTAAAAATAGATTTATTAAGTCTGGATTCTATAGGAAATCTTAACCACGTGTGCCTCGCAACATTTGTTTTTTATAACGCAATTTTAATCTAAGGAGGCTGATTTAAAATGTAAGTACCTATATATGTATACCAACGTCTTTTACATGCGTTGACAATGTTTCAACTACAGCATAACTAAAAAAAAAAAAACAAGTTTAAACTTATTGAAGGCTAAGAGGTTTTGGATCATAAATTAATAAACAGCCTATAAATTTAACAACGCTGTGGAAAAGGCCTTTTTCGGTACAGACAGTAATGGATATGGCAGTTTTTATTTTTGATTTTTTTCTTTTCTATAAAATATTGCCCTTACTTTAGGATAACATTATCCTGTGTTGTAGGGACGTTTTACATAAATTTCACGCGGGCAAACACCCAGATGAGAAACAACTATCTGTGGGTCACACAAATAGTTGTCCCGTGTGGGAATCGAACCCACGACCCCCGACGCCGAAGCCAATGCCTTGGCAACTGCGCCACGGAGTCATCAGTTTTTTAGTTAATTCAAAAATATGCAGCTGTCGAGGCTTTGCTTAGCCGCTGAGCACGTGATAAATCAGTAGTCAGTTGTTAATACAAATTTAGTCGGTGCCCGCAAATGGATTTAATCTCATCACTATAATAGGAGATATAAACAAACCCAAAAACCTTCGAAATATTACTAGTGGTTTTGTTTCATTTCGTAATATTAAGACAATTATCTTGGCAAGGGCCTTAAACGAAAGGTGCACTGTCGCAACAGCCTGCTACAGCGTCTAGTACATACTGAGTGGGGAGCTACGCCACATGTGACGCGGACTTCAGGCCTAGCGATAGCATTTTCTGCCGGCGACTTCGCGTGCCCCGCTCGGCTCATGCTAAGCTCGTGGATACAGCCTTAAACGAAACCTGCCGTATAATAACTGGATGCCTGAAGCAAACCCTGGTGAAGTTGCTGTATCCACTGGCTGGCATAGTGCCACCAGTTGTACGCAGAGCCGTTGCAAGCTCGCTAGAGAGGGCTAAGGCGGACGAAGACAAACGGCACCCCCTACATGGGCATGAGCTTCCACCGCAAAGGCTGAAAAGTCGAAAAAGTTTTTTAAAATGTGTCGACCCCCTCACAACCGAGCCCTCTCAAAGGAGATGCAGCATGTAGCGTGCTCAAACGCTGCTTCCGGATCCCTTTGTCTCGCTTTCTGAGAGTCATTGGGCTGGTCATAGACTACCTTGGCCAACCTGGAAGTCTTTAAATAGACTTCGGACTCAGGTTGGTCGAAGCAAGGAAAATATGTTCAGGTGGGGAC